GCAATCAGATTCTTAAAAGAAGAATTTCAATAGAAGAAAAAGTAAAAAAGAATCACTTCTGTAAAATCAGGATGGTAAATACCTTTATTTTAAAAAATTCGTACTCTTGCTGAATGAGATGCATAAAGGACGGATACCTGTTTGGGTGCATCCAGGGAAAACAGTAAAATGGTATGCAAACTGGAAAGAAATAGATAAATGTATATTCTGTAATCTTGAGTGTTACATGTGACTAGAATAGGTATACCTTTTTCACAAATGACTTTTTTTATGTTGACAATGCACCAAAAGATGTGAAAGAGCAAACACAACAGTATATAAACCAAATGTACTGTTAAATCAGACTTAAGTGAAAATGGTGTGTATTGCTCATGACTCAGTACAAACATTATGAAACCTTTAGAACTATTAGTTATGTAAAAAACCTGTCATTCTTGCTCACTACTAGAACTTTACATTGACTTATTATATGATTCCTATTTGGTCTTAAAGTAAAATAAAGCAGAATTCATACCTTAATATATAAACTGGTAATGTGACACTTTGTTTTCTCTATCTGGTAATTCAGGATCAATAACATTTTAAAACATTATGTGGCATAGCAACATCTACTGGTAGCTGTTGGTAGTTGCATAAAATAGTAGTGTTTGGAGGATAGTAGAAAATAACAAGAAGTAGAGAACTGTGGATGATTCTGCCATTGTTCCACAGAATGCTATGCACGGTCTAGTTTTTCAATAAACTATTTTATTCTGTTTTTGATATTGAAAATGTAAATACTATGCTTCATAATTACAGCACGAACACGAAACACCTAAAACTGGTAAAATCCATTTAGATTTCCCCACAATTTATGGGCTTTTTAATAACTTCCATTAATAAGTTAATTATTAAGCAGGCTGAGTAGTACAAAAATATTAAGGCAAATTAATCCCTTGGAGTAGAGAGGTGAAATTCCATTTACTGCAACACCTGCTTACAAAAGAATTAATTTTGTCCAGTGTAGATACTGTCACTCTACAGTAGTATTATATGACGGAACCACTAGCATGGGAGAATGCTGTGAAAGTAAAGGTTAGCAATTCAATATTCAGCTACAAATACTTTGCATATGTAGTTTGTAATTATTACACTGATCACTTACAAATGGCATAGTGAAACAAAATATTAAAATGTTCCCTTGGGCTGGATGGAGGAAACCATGAATTTTTATAAAATGGATTAAAAATACCTATAACACTTGCAATAGGTAGTGCTTGGCTTATTCATTAACAAATTCTTAAACATACGCACATACATGCAGATCAAGTGTCACTGAATTATTAATTTGATTTTAAAAAGATAACCATTTTGTGAAACTGAAGACTAATCTGAGCAGAACTCCTTGATTTTCAGTTGTTCATTGACCATTTAACATTCTTAACTTCAGTATTTTAGTTCAGTTGTGATTTTTATTTTGCATGACTGACCATAGTGGCATGCAGAGTTGCAGCCTTTTGCAGAACGCTTCAGGTTAAAAAAAGCCTTAGTACTGGATCGAACTCTTACCCCCAATATGTGACTACAATTTACCAATGGCCAGAGTTAATATATTCAATATCCAGAGATTTAATTGGCTATTGTAAATAGCAGTTGCACCATACAATCTGCCAGGTTTCAGAGTAGCAGCCGTGTTAGTCTGTATCTGCAAAAAGAAAAGGAGGACTTGTGGCACCTTAGAGATGAACAAATTTATTTGAGCATAAGCTTTCGTGAGCTACAGCTCACTTCATCGGATGTATGCAGTGGAAAATACAGTAGGGAGACTTTATATACACAGAGAGCATGAAACAATGGGTGTTACCATACACGCTGTAATGAGAGTGATCATGTAAGGTGAGCTATTACCAGCAGTGGGGAGAGGGGGTAGGGGGAAAAAATCCAAAACCTTTTTGTAGTGATAATTAAGGTGGGCCATTTCCAGCAGTTGACAAGAACGTGTGAGGAACAGTGGGCCGGGGGGGAATAAACATGGGGAAATAGTTTTACTTTGTGTAATGACACATCCACTCCCAGTCTTCATTCAAGCCTAAGTCAATGGTGTCCAGTTTGTAAATTAGTTCCAGTTCAGCAGTCTCTCATTGGAGTCTGTTTCTGAAGTTGTTTTTGTTGAAGAATTGCCACTTTTAGGTCTGTAATCGAGTGAGCAGAGAGATTGAAGTGTTCTCCGACTGATTTTTGAATGCTATAATTCTTGACATCTGATTTGTGTCCATTTAGTCTTTTACACAGAGACTGTCCGGTTTGGCCAATGTACATGGCAGAGGGGCATTGCTGGCACATGATGGCATCTATCACATTGGTAGATGTGCAGGTGAACGAGCCTCTGATAGTGTGGCTGATGTGATTAGGCCCTGTGATGGTGTCCCCTGAATAGATATGTGGGCACAGTTGGCAACGGGCTTTGTTGCAAGGATAGGTTCCTGGGTTAGTGTTTTTGTTGTGTGGAGTGTGGTTGCTGGTGAGTATTTGCTTCAGGTTGGGGGGCTGTCTGTATGCAAGGACTGGCCTGTCTCCCAAGATCTGTGAGGGTGATGGGTCGTCCTTCAGGATAGGTTGTAGATCCTTGATGATGATCAGACGTCAGGAATTATAACATTCAAAAACCAGTCGGAGAACTCTTCAGTCTCTCTGGTCACTCGATTACAGACCTAAAAGTTGCAATTCTTCAACTTCCCCCGTTCCTCACACGTTCTTGTCAACTCGAAATGGCCCACCTTAATTATCACTACAAAAGGTTTTTTTCCTCTCTCTCTCTCTCCTGCTGGTAATAGCTCACGTTACCTGACCACACTCGTTACAGCGTGTATGGTAACACCCATTGTTTCATGCTCTCTGTGTATATAAAATTTCCCCACTATATTTTCCACTGCATGCATATGATGAAGTGAGCTGTAGCTCACGAAAGCTTATGCTCAAATAAATTTGTTCGTCTCTAAGGTGCCACAAGTCCTCCCTTTCTTTTTGCGCATACAATCTGCATCTACACTGTCATGCACTGATGCATGATCAGTCTTTCTTATATACCATGGAACAATTAAGTTCAATAATTGCTTTCATATATAAGAGGGGGGGAAACAGATCACTAGTCAGTGCAAAAGAAAAAAGTGGATGCGGATGTGCTCTTATTTGAACAGTAATCACACAGTAGTGCAACTAGTGACATCTGTTGCACATAAGAAATGGGTTATTGTGCAGATGAAATCATACAAATTATTTTACTCAGTCCTTTCACGTCTCATTTTTAAAGGTTTAGATTATGCTAAAGTATCCTCAATCCTATGTTGCTATTCAGATATATTCAGTGATTGCATACAGTCACAGTCATAATTATTGAATCCAGAACTTCAATTCTGTTGTTTGGGAAAGGGCTTCTACTCTTGCACTGGAGGAAGGCATTCAAAACTATAGGGGGCAGATCCAGATTTTTTGAATATGTGCCTCAACAGTTTCAACTTCCCCGTCACTGTTTCCTCCCTTTTATTCCTCCTCTTCTCCCACTTGGGATTTCAAGGACATGGGTTTAATTCCTGCAAAGACCTAGATCCGCTCCTCTGCCAGCAAGTACCGAGCACAGCTTTCATGTGGCATTTTGTCTTCAGAATAGTCACAGGCAATGGTACTGGAATCCTATTTCATAAGTCTCAAGAAATAGGAAGATGTGATAGATCTTAGGCTTTGCAAGGAGGGTGCTTACTCCTTTCAGGGCCTAGCCAAAAGACTCGCTCCCCAGAAGAACTGAGTAGGGACAAAACGGAGTTCCACACACCAACTGTTTCTTGTCCTATTGTGTTGGAGCAGCTATACTGATTTCCAAGGGGCTAGGGCTGGGCTAAGGGTCTGCAGTTCACATCCAGTACATGATTCCCCATCTTGAGCAGCAATGAAACTGTAAAGACTGATTTAAGTATACAGTCCACAACAATAGTGCACTCAGTTTAAGGCACTGGACCTATGACTGTGAATCAAACCCAGTTAAATAAAAAAAGGGTAGTATAATCTAAAAATGAAAAGGCTATGAAAGTAAAAGATATAAGATTTTTGTTACAATTTTGGTATTGTTATAAAAAGTAAATTGTTTGAACATGAGTGTCCGTGAATTGTTAAAACATGAGACTACAAAGGACCATCTTGAAGTCCAGTCCGCTTGGGGTGGAAATGGCAAGTGGGGTGAAAGAGCCCATTTTGGATAAATTGGAGCTCATGGCTGTAGAGTCCTTAAATTTTGAACACTGCATACCAGCGTTCTTCTTTTAAAGAAAACAACACCAGTTTGCTTAGCCCCATAATCTGAAAGTCCAAAAAGTTAAAAGCACTACTCACTGTAAGAAGTGAAATGTATTTGAAAATAGCTTTAAATCACAACTGGTATTGACTTTAACAAGGGATGGCAGTCTTGCTAAAGTTATATAATTTTGTGTCACTGGCAGTATGAGAGCCCTGTGTCTAAATATAAATGAATTCTCATTCTGCTCCAATACTGTTTTAACAATCCAAAGAAGCTCAAATGTTTATACAAAGTTTACTTTTTTTAAACAATAAACCAACATTCAAGCTGGATAGCAACTTAAGAGAGGAATCTTGGTGATCTATAAGCTTAAAGAAATGTGTTCCATTCCAAGAATGGGTTCAATTTGTTTTATTGTACTTTAAGGAAGCCTTGATAAACAATTTATGATGTTTGGGAATATATATTTTGTGTAATGACCTTATTTTAGGTGCTCAAATATCAGGTGATGGGTGCAGTATAAATACCCAGAAAGAGATTTAATGAGGTAAATTCTAAAAAGGGAATATTCTAATTTTCAGTTTGGACCTAAAGCACTAAAAGACATATGGAGTATAGGGATAATATTAAAGAACTCTTAGTTATACTCCAAAATTTATTTTTAAAAGCTGTTTTAGGAGTGTAACTTTGTTGCCAAGAGATTTTTAAATAGAAATTTTCTTCTAAATTTCAGGTATCTTGTATTTTTTTGTCCACATGACATAGTCTACCGATGCTTTTCCTTTCTGCCTCTTCGACTGATGGTTGCAGGAATGAAAGAAGTGACAAGGACTTGGAAAGTAACAGCTGGAATTGCACATGCAAACAGTCACTACAAAAATGCCTGGCTTATCATGGTAGCTGTTGGCTGGGCCAGAGGTAATGTGTAAAATCTCTTGTTCTGATGAATTGTGAAGTTTTAAAGTGGTATTTAAATTGTGAACCATGTGGTCTTAGCAATAACACCATGATCAAAGTGTGGGAGTGGTAGCCTTAAATTCAGACTGTTATCCCTCGAGGTATGTGTGTCTGTGCAGCAATTTCTCTGGTTAGATGAGGGATGGCATTGACTGGCTTTGGAGGGAACCGTGTCTAGCCCTTAGGAAGGAAGAAGCCTGTACTCATGTAAGTATCTTTAGGATTTGCTGGTTGATGACAAAAGGAATCAACAAGGCTACTATATAACTTGATCGTTATAATCATTAACTTTCCAATGGAACTGTTCTTACAGAAGTTGCGGTTCTATATAGCAGGATTGTTACTTTTCTAATTTTTTTGTATGTCCCAATACTTTAATCAGATAAAATTCCTCTAGTGTGTTCAATCTCATCTAATCGAGTTGTCTCCTAAATTAAATAAGTACAATATATTATATCTAGAAATGTATTGTGCACTTCAGAGCAGCAGTGTTTGCTTTACTTTTGTACTTTATATCCCACTACAGTAGACATCACTGGCTCAGCTCTGGCTTTACTTTTTTAGCTCTGCATTATAGTTTATTTCCACTCTGCTTGGGAGCCCACAGACACGTTAACAAAAGTAATTCTAACTTGTGTTGGGTTTCTTATAGAATTTACTGAACAGAGAGAGTGGCACATTCTTCTTATGCCTTATTTCCTCTACACTCTCACACACATACTTCTAGTAATCTTTGATTGTTTTCCCTATAATGGAAGTCTTCTAGATTTTATTTTGGGATGTGTGGACGCGCGCTTGCTCTCTCCCTCATATGTGTATGCCTATATATAAATTGCCATCTATGATCCTGGAAGAAAATGGATTCTCCTAAGAATGGCCATAATGGGTCAGACCAGTCGTCCTTCTAGCCCAGTGTCCTGTCTTCTGACATTGGCCACTGTCAGATGCTTCAGAGGCAATGAACAGACCAGGGCAATTAGTGACTGCTCCATCCCCTATTTTCCACTCCCAGTGTCTGGCAGTTAGAGGCTTAAAACACACAGAGCCTGGGGTTTCATCCCTGACCATTTTGGCTAATATCCATAGATGGACCTATCCTCAGTGAACTTACCTAATTCTTTTTTGAACCCAGTTAGTTTTGGCCTTCACAATATCCCCTGGCAGCAAGTTCCATAGCTTGACTCTGCATTGTGTGATGTAGAACTTCCTTTTGTTTGTTTTAAACCTGCTGCCTATTAATTTCATTGGGTGACCCCGGGTTCTTGTTCTATGTGAAGGGGTAAATAACACTTCCTTATTCACTTTCTCTGCACCAGTCACGGTTTTATAGACCTCTATCATATCCATCCTTAATCATCTCTTTTCCATGCTGAAAAGTCCCAGTCTTATTAATCTCTCCTCATATGGAAGTTGTTCCATACCCTTAATAATTTTTGTTGCCATTCTCTGTACCTATTCCAATTCTAATATATCTTTTTTGAGATGGGGTGACTAGAACTGCACACAGTATTCAAGGTGTAGCATATCATGGATTTATATAGTGTTACGCTTTTTGTCATTTTCTCTATCCCTTTCCTAATGGTTCCTAACATTCTGTTAGCTTTTTTGAGTGTCGCTGCACATTGAGCGGATGTTTTCAAAGAACTATCTACGAAGACTCCAGGATCTCTTCCTTGAGTGGTAACAGCTAATTTAGACCCTATCATTTTGTATGCATAGTTGGGATTATGTTTTCCAATGTGCATTACTTTGCATTTATCAACACTGAATTTCATCTGCCATTTTGTTGCCCAGTCACCCAGTTTTGTAAGAACCTTTTGTAACTATTTGTAGTCTGCTTTGGACTTAATTATCAGAATAATTTTGTATCAACTGCAAATTTTACCACCTCCCTGTTTACCCCCTTTTCCAGATCATTTGTGAATACGTTGAACAGCACTGGGCCCAATACAGACTCCTGGGGGATCCCACTATTTACTTCTCTCCATTCTGAAAACTAACCATTTATTTCTTCCCTTTGTTTCCTGTCTTTAACCAGTTACCGATCCATGACAGGACCTTCCCTCTTATCCCATGACTGCTTACTTTGCTTAAAAGCCTTTGGAGGGGCCTTGTCAAAGACTTTCTGAAAGTCCAAAACCCACTGGATCCCCCTTGTCCACATGTTTGTTTGACCCTTTCAAAAATTCTAATTGAGTAGTAAGGCATGATTTCCCTTTACAAAAGCCATGTTGGCTCTTCCCTAACAAATTATGTTCATCTATGTGTCTGGTAATTCTGTTCTTTACTATGCTTTCAACCAGTTTGCCTGGTACTGAAGTTAGGCCTGTAATTGCGAGGATTGTCTCTGGAGCACAGTTCCCTCTAAGCTGTGCACACGTGCGTGCGAACACAGATCCTAAACCCCATGCACATGGTGAAACACCATGCCCATAAAATTGCACAGAAGAAATTTTTTGCACGCACGGCCTGTCAAAAATTAGAGGGAACATTGCTCTGGACCCTTTTTAAAAAATTGACGTCACATTAGCTATTCTCCAGTCATCTGGTACAGAAGCTGATTTAAGTGATAGATTACATACCATGGTTTAGGTTTCAGAGTAGCAGCCATGTTAGTCTGTATCCACAAAAAGAAAAGGAGTACTTGTGGCACCTTAGAGACTAACAAATTTGAGCATAAGCTTTCAAGATCTTATGCTCAAATTTGTTAGTCTCTAAGGTGCCAGAAGTCCTGCTTTTCTTTATACCACAGTTAGTAGCTCTGCAATTTCATATTTGAGTTCCTTCAGAACTAATCAGTAAATACCATCTGGTCCTGGTGACTTATTACTGTTTAATTTTTTAGTTTGGTCCAAAACCAATTCTATAGATACCTCAATCTGGGACAGTTCCTCAGATTGGTCACCTACAAAGAAGAGCTCAGGAGTGGGACTCTCCCACACATCCTCTGCAGTGAAGACCAATGCAAAGAATTCATGTAGCTTTTCCGTAATGGCCTTGTCTTCCTTTAGCACCTCGATCGTTCAGTGGCTTCACTGATTGATTGTTTGGCTGACTTGCTTCTGATCGTACTTAAAAAAACTAACAACAAAAAATATTTTATCTTTTGCTAGTAGCTCTTCAGAATCTTTTTTGGTCTGCCCAATTATACTTCCACACTTGATTTGCCAGAGTTTATGCTCATTTCTATTTTCCTCAGTAGGATTTGACTTCAAATTTTTAAAGGATGCCTTTTTGCCTCTAATCTCTTTTAATCTGTTTAGCCATAGTGGCACTTTTTTGGTCACCTTACTATTTTTTTTTTAATTAGGGGTATACATTTAATTTGAGCCTCTATTATAGTGTCTTGAACAAGTTTCCATGCAGCTTGCAGGCATTTTTTACTCTTGCGAATGTACCTTTTAATTTCTGTGTAACTAGCTTCCTCATTTTTGTGTAGTTCCTCTTTCCCTTGAAGTTAAATGCTACTGTAGTGGGCTTCTTTGATATTTTTCCCTCCCACAGGATGTTAAATTTGAATATATTATGGTTGCTATTACCGAATGGTTCAGCTATATTCACCTCTTGGATCAGATTGTGTGCTTCACTTAGGACTAAATAAAGAATTGTCTCTCCCCTTGTGGGTTTCAGGACTAGCTGCTCCAAGAAGCAGTCATTAATGGTGTCTACAAACTTGATCTCAGCATCCCATCTTGAGGTGACATGTATTCAGTCAGTATGGATATAGTTGAGATCTCCCATTATTACTGAGTTTTGTATTCTTGTAGCCTCTGTAATCGCTCTGAGCATTTCACAGTCACTATCGCTTTCCTGAGCAGATAGTCAGTAATATATTCCTACTGTTATTATTCAAGCATGAAATTTGTATCCATAGAGATTCTATGGTAGTCTTTGCTTTAAGATTTTTAGTATATTTGATTCTATGCTTGCTTTCACATACAGTGCCACTCCCCCACCTGTATAGCCTACATTTTCATTCCTATATATTTTGCACCCTGGTATTACTGTGTCCCATTGATTATCCTCATTTCACCAAGTTTCTGTGATGCCTATTATATCAATATCCTCATTTAATACCAGGTACTCAAGGTCACCCATCTTAGCATTTGTATAAGAGTACTTATAAAATTTGTCATTTTTTAATTGTCTGCCATTATGTGATGTAATTGAATGGGACTGTCTCTCAGTTGACTGCTTCTTTTCAATTCCTACCTGTGCTTTGTCAACTTCTGTCCTCTACTCTTTACTGGGATAGAGAATCCCTGTGACTAGAGCCTCCCTACAGGATGGTTCCATCTAAGCTGCATGCTCCTCCATACCTGTCAGCTTTCCCCAGTCCTTAGTTCAAAACCTCCTCAACAACATTTTTAATTTTACAAGCCAGCAATCTGGTTCTGTTTTAGTTTGGGTGGAGTCCACCCTTCCTGAATAGGCTTCTCCTTTCCAAAAAGGTTCTCCAGTTTTTATAAACCTCAAACCCTCCTCCCTGCACCCTCTCCCACACTGAATCTTTGTTTCCTGTTAGACAAGAATACAGTGTCTAAATTGTCAAGTGACAAATGACTTCGGTGTCTAAGCTTTGTGTACTCAACTTCAGGCACCTTAACGGGGCCTGATTTTCAGATGGCGGCTGCTTGGCAATCAGGTCTCTTTAAGGTGTCAGGGTCACCCATGTCACTAATCACTACTGAAAGTTTTAGACTATGTTCAAATCTGTACTTTAGGGGTCAGATCCTGCCCCCATTAAATAAAGGGAGTTTGCAGAGCCATAGGAGGAGCACACTGAACTGTGAGGGCTTGTCTACACTCAGGGTGGATTTGATTTAAATCACTAGTCAGGAAGACTCGATTTAATCATGGATTTCTACATAAAAGTGCACTCTTATTAGTTGTTATAACCTTAATATATAGTCTTCACAACTCAGAGATGGGTGTAGGTTTCATTTTTAGAAGCTACACACGATACATTTTTAAAGTGATTTATTTTGAAAACTTTTCAGATTAGTTTTACAGCTATATCAGAAAATGAAGGATTGTTTGGTTATTTCATTTACCAAAGGTAATTGAAGCAGATTTTTATGAAGTCATTGGGAGGTGAACGATCTCCAGTTCAACAGGTTAATCGTTAATATTTGGAGGATTTTCTTGCCATGCTGTATTGGGAGGAGAACATCACCAGACAGATATTTAAATTGTTTTATTTAACTAAAACAACAATGTTATGTATTCTGGATGTTTTTCTTCAACAGAAAACATTTTTATAATATAAAGTTTTATAAAATCAGGTTTGTTTTTGTTAAAATTGTTTTTAACTAAAATAGTTAAATGAAACTTTTTTAAAAAAACAAAACAAAACAAAAAATCAACTGTCTGCCAGGTCAGCATGAGAAACTTAAAATATTGGCTTCTGCAGCTAACTCTGTCGTCTTCACCTCCATTTTCCTGTTTGTTCATAATCTGGAAAAGAAAAACAAGCTTTCCTGCTTTTTCAGGTCCAAAACCATTTCTCAATTTGGAATGAATTAGTTCAAAGGAAGAAAATATTCTTTCTACACCGGCAGAAGAAGCTACTGCTGTTAAAAGTGAGATTATCACGTCAACAGTCTCTGAATCCAAGTGCTGAAGTGACTTCCACCAGTTCACTGGTGTGACTTTCTTTAAAACATCGTCAGCAAACATATATTTCTTGAATGGTTCACCCTTAGCTCTGAAGTTTATTACAGTTGGCATTATGGAGGGATGATTGCTGGATGTCCATGTCCTAGCCAACTCCTCTTCTTCAGCAGTTAAAGTTTGACCTTGGTACCAAGTATTGAGAATTTTTGCAAGAAAATAAGCTGAAGATAGTGCTTGTCCCATTTGTTTTTTTAAATGCTTGTAATTTAACTCTGTCTTTGCATATTTCTCTTTTTAAGATGTCACTCAGTTCCTTCCAAATTTCAGCAGCATCAGCAATAAAACAGCTATTTCCCTGCGTTTTGTTCGAGGCTACAGAAATAGGCTTCATGGTACTCAGCATGTGTTCAACATTTCTCTTAAGCCTGCTGTTGAGATCTTTGGCTGTGACAGGGCCATCTATTTTTTTCACAGTTTTGTTCACACACTGTCATCAGATTAGGTCAGTTCTTGATACAGTGCTCAAAACAGTCCACTACGGAGTTCCATCACACGTCTTGTGGGAGAGTTGGCTTGGTTCCTCCCACTTTTTTCAGAGCACTTGCTGCAAAGTGGTTGTTACGGATGTATTTTGCAATTTCAACATTAGCCTTTATTACTGTAACACTGAAGTCTTTGGCTGGGAGGTGCATCAAATGAGCACTGCGACCGTATGTTAGCTTGGGATTCTCTTCACTCTTCTTTAAATAATTTCTTCTTATCTTGGATACATTTGCAGCATTGTCCGTGACCAAGCTGCGTTGTAGACATTTGAATTTTTTTTCAGTTTGTTATAGCTTTTATTGTTGCTTCCTGTAAGTATTCTGCTGTGTGTGCATTTCCTGTTGTATCAATTGTTTCTGGAAGAAAGACCTTCCCTTTGTCTGTTGTCACACAAGCACATACAACAGGATCATTGTGGACATTGCTCCACCCATCAAGACTCAGGTTAACTCTAGACCTTTTGCACACTGCTCAATTTCTCTTTCATACACTTTATCCAGAAATGTGCCTGCAACATCCGCTCTGTTGGGTGCACTGTATCCTGGTCTTAATGCCTGAACCATGTTAATGAAGTATGGGTTTTCAATCATACGGAGAGGAGAGTTTGTTGCATAAACCGGGCAATTTCTTCATCTTTTTGTAATCTGCTGGTTCTGATCACAAACTTATCTATGGTTTTCTCTGGATGATGGTTTTTTTTTCTTTTTGCTACAGGTGATATACTGTGGCTCAGTGACATACATGATGTGACTGAAACACTGTCATTGGCAGATAACTCTGAAACTATAGAAAATGATGGTGATCTTGAAGGTGGATAGTCTTCAGAATCCTGTACATTGAGGATGGATTCTCCTAAACAAAATAAGTCAATGCAGTTGTTTAATTATTATTACCATACTGCTCATTGAATAATCCTCATTGCATTCACTGACACTCAGCACTACTTTAAAGGTGAAATTGTAAAAGGAAGATCTGCCTATTTCAGCTATTTATTTTTTATCACAACTGCATCTAAAATGCTAGTACCATAGAGTAACAACTATATTTGTTGCTCAAACATGAGAATTCAAGAATAGTCCAGAAGGAAGACAGGCAGTCCTTAAGAAAGAAGTATGAAATAAAGAAGTTTACCAACCTGAAGATCCTGCATGTTCAGATCCTTTCATCATCTTCAGTGCAACTTCCTCCTGAGAAGGAACACTTCTCATGATGTTGTTTCATTCGGGCCTTGCATGTCTTCGTTGCACTGTTTGCATTTTGCACACATGCCTGTCTTACCCACAGGTAGAGGAACTTCATTAAAATATTCCCAAACTGGGTCTCTTTTACGGCCTGCTGCCATTGTAGGTTTTCCCTTCTAGTGAGAGAATGGTATGGTAGATCAATGAAGGCTACACTCAGAAAGACCTCAAGACTTCTGGAATATGCTGCTCAAACAGTTTCACTTTTGTTTCTACTGTCTGTCCCTCCCTTCTCACATTTATCTCCAGGCTTCTTGTCCAGATCTATTCTGCCCCTAACAATCTTCTATTCATTGAACTTTTTAAAACGTTGCACTTTTACAGAGAGATAAGGGATTGACTCTGTGTACACAAATTTGCAGAGGGACAATAGGGCTGTGGTCTGTTATTTCTCACCTTTATTTATTTATTTTATTTTATTTAAAAACGTTTTTGCTGTTAACAAGCATGTTATCTCTGGCGACACAAACCCACAGTTTGAGAACCGCAAAACTAAGCATCTCTGATGGTTTCTTCTAGACTGAGCACTGAGTCCCATTGGGTAGATAGAAAGATTAACCTAAATAAGCTATACAGAAGCCCCTGGACCCCATAAGATTGGGTCCCTAATCCATGAACTATTGGAACTCATTTACAAAACTTTTTTTAAACATTATGTGAATATATTGTCTCATACTATTTGAGCATAAGCTTTCGTGAGCTACAGCTCACTTCATCCACAGTATGCATCCGATGAAGTGAGCTGTAGCTCACGAAAGCTTATGCTCAGATAAATTGGTTAGTCTCTAAGGTGCCACAAGTACTCCTTTTCTTTTTGCGAATACAGACTAACACGGCTGTTACTCTGAAACCTGTCTCATACTATAGAATTAGAATTTATAATCCCTATTCCATGATGAGATATCTTTGAGCTATAATGTATCTTAATTAAAACTATCTTTAGATTGCTTTTTGAGGAAAAAAGCATTTTATCAAAAAAATCAGATTATTTTATTTTATTTTTTTAAGTCATTGATTTTTATCCACCCTGTCTACACTACACAGCTTTTAGTGACATGGCTGTATTGCTACAGCCGTGCCACTAAACGTCGGGCAGTGTAGCTGCTGTTTGTCGGCTCTCCTGCCAACAGCACACTGTTCACACTGGTACTTGTCGCGGCAAACCTTTTGTCTTTTGGGGGAGGGGCGGGTGTTTAATGGCTCTGAAAGACAAAGTTTTGTCGTTCAATTGCCGTTGTAGACATGGCCTTAGTCACTAAGAGACTATACCATTGAGACCTGTTATAATTTATTGGATTTTCAGGAGCTGGTGGTGGCTTAATCTCTAACTTTGAGCAGTTGGTGAGAGGTGTTTGGAAACCTGAAAGCAATGAACTTCTGAAGATGTCCTAGTAAGTTTGTGTAAACCATAGTAGAACTGGAATAATTGTAATAACTTTGTTCTCTTCGGGTCCCGCATTCAAATACCTACATGAGTAATTTTTGTGGTGCAGCGTTTATAAACAGATGCTAGTAGACACTTTGAATTTATAAGCAAAGTGGGTCCAAATCTTTACTATGTGATGGCTGGCTTGACTTATGTGGAACGAGGAGTTAGTCTAAATGATTTCCTCATGAATAATTGTCTCCACTACAAAATTACCACAGAATTGGAACTAATTGGTAAACGTGTTGGCAACTTGTGCAAAGAGGACAATCATTTGAATGGGCAAGAAAAATTAACCACCTCTCCCAGAGCTCTGGTTCATCCAAGGCAGAAATGAAGTACATTGTGGCAGGGTAATGTGAGTGGAAACTTACATTCCTGCATGTGCTGGTACGCAGTCTGAAGGTAGTTAGATGACTTTAGGACTGTCATTCTAGTGGATATATTCTACCAACGCTAAATACTTTAAAAAAGAAAAAACAGTTGCACTCTTCTGAACACACATGCAAGCCATCTGTTAAATATATAGCATTAAAAAACATCAACACATGTCTCTGGTGCATTGCAAGATAGAAGATGCTACTTGAGTTTCAGGTTTCAATTCTTTGTCTCGCAGAAGCTAAATTGGGAGTATTACATAGCACTCAGTTTAGCTTCTGCAAGAGAGAGAATTTGAATTGGCTGGCAGGCCACAAACTACTGCTGTAAAGGGAGATAAGCTCATAGGGGATTTAAAATGCCCACTTTGCCCTCCCATGTGACTTCCCAGCTGGTTTCTGTGGAAATGATTATTTCAAAACCAGCGTTATGACTTTTGATGTGATAAACATTTAGGGATGCTGGTTTCATGTAACTGTCCTGGGTAGTAAAGAATGACAGAAGAGAAATACAAAAATTATGAGCAGCACTATTTCCAAAAGGAAGGATTGTGAGGCTTATGGTGTCAGCTGCACCTAAATACTTCAAACTCAGTGAAACAAGTAAATTCTGCTAGTTTAAAACACTGCAGTCACTTTCTTTAAAAAAGTGCTAGCTGAAGGAAGAATGAGTTTTAAATGTTAATTGTGGTATTGCATCTAGTCTCATGAAGGGTAAAAGCTGAGATTGCAAGATGCCAGAACAGAGAGGTGTTGGACACAGATCACTGTCCTCACATCCTGAAATTATTTTGGTTAAAAATTCCCTTGACAATTTTTTTCAAATGTTCTTCTTTGGTCGTAAAGCTAAATGCATGAATCTAATTAAAGGTGTGATAAGAAATGAAACTTGACGAATCCCAAATCGTAAGAATATACAAGTAGTTATACTACTGGCTTCCTGATCAGCCTCTTATAAAGTGCTCAAATGTCACAGCGGTCTAAGATTTAGACAAGCAGTTTCTTGACACCTTGAATGATTGGTTCTTAGAACAGCTTGTTCTAGAGCACAATGAGGAGAGCTTATTCTTAACGCAGTCCCAAGTAACACATAGGAGTTGACTGAAGTAATAATTTAAGTTGAATCACTAAGTAATAGCAAAAAGAAAAGGAGGACTTGTGGCACCTTGGAGACTAACAAATTGATTTGAGCATAAGCTTTCGTGAGCTACAGCTCACTTCATCGGATGTGAGCTGTAGCTCACGAAAGCTTATGCTCAAATAAATTTTAGTCTCCAAGGTGCCACAAGTACTCCTTTGCTTTTTGCGAATACAGACTAACATGGCTGCTACTCTGAAACCTGTCACTAAGTAATAGTAACTACAGTAAAATTAAGCTGAAATTCCTCAGGGGGAAGAAAATATCACAAAATGATTAGAGGTGTGGCAAAAACTTCCATAAGAAAACTGAGTGTAAATATTGGCACAGTTTAATTTAGAGGTGACTAATAAAGGGATATATCAAATGCATAAATTAAATAATAGTATGGAGAAGACAAATTGGGTGGTGGTCTTTAAATTCAGGAACAAAGATCTAAGAAATTAAAAGCTTGCAAACTAAAAACTGATAGACGTATACAAAGCATGTAATTAGCCTGTGAACATGTTGCCGTATTGTTACCACAAGCTTTTTATCATTTACTTTCAGCCAAGCAAATATTGTAGTTATATTTTTGTATGCGGGGGTATTCTATCAGCATAGGAGGGGGAGGAGAGAAAATCCACATGCTTGTCTTTATTTTGTTTGGTTTCCAGCCCTGTAAAAGTGACTCTGGTAGGTGCAGTACTCTTCACATTGCAACATGCCCAGAATCTACCAATAGCAAGACACAACCTTATGTTCTTTTACACCACCTTTCTAGTGGTCACAAAGGTAAGAATTTGGAAATGTATAATTATTTAAACATATGCAATATAGCAATATTTTTCACTGTACTTTCTAAAGTAGGATGTATGTTGTTGAATATTTCTCTCTTTATACCTGCCACCAGAATTCTAATTTCAGTTTTCTTCTTCTGGAGAGATCTGGTCAAACTCAATTGGTGAAAATGGCATACATAGCTCAATTGAAGTCAGCGGAGCTACCCCAATACCAGTGGAGGCTCCTACCCCCATGAGCCTTAAGTAACTCTTCCATATCTGAAGCAGACCGACAGGAAGCTCTTTGCATTGTGACCTTTGCTAGTTGTATTAAAAGAATATTTCAGGAATTTGGCACAGGGAGTTGATATTTCAAGTTACTAAATTATTTGAGAGAAAGATACAATTAAGACACAACAGGTTGTCTTGCCAACCTGTTAATACATGTAGAGCAAAAATGAACTGCAGCCAAAGGCCAAGGGTTTCTAGTCACCGAATACGTTTGTTTATAAGTGAATAGAACATGCTCTGTTTGTCTTCATGCTGTTTTTTAAAAGTTTTGGTTTTGGACACATCTTTCAGCTATATAGAAAATAATGGTGAAGGAGAAGAGAAAAATAATATGAAAAGTGTTTACTATCTCTTTGTTTATAAAAAGTGGATATGTATATCCACACACATGCATGTGTACACATGTGAGATATATGCACACTTATTGTTCTTCCCTTTAATCTTCTTATGGTTGAACTCTAATCTATCATGTTCTGCATTTATCTTCTCCCAAAAAGCTGGGCTATATTCAGGACTGTGTTAACCCTAAAAAAGGCAAAGTTGGAATCTCAATATCGTCTGAGCTGTAACAATCTTGAAGGTTGCCACTCTGTTCTTGAGGAGATGTTAAAATAGTGGGTGAACTGTAGAGGAGGGTTTAAAAAGAACTGCCTGCCTCCCACAAAGCATCCCTAGAAACGTTATGTTTCTAAAATCTGACTAAGATATTGGGTCCCCTGGGTGCTACGGTAATGCAAGTAATCATCATTAATGCTTCAGACTTATCTTTTCTTAAAACACCTAAACATCAGAGGCGCTCAGGATACAAGGGATGTGGTGTTAGGAGATAGTTAGGTGTGGGGAGGGGGTCTGCAGCCTCAGACTCCCTGTACTACTGAAGCCCAAGGTATGGTGACACACAGCTTTGTGGCACCAGTTCTGCATTGGTGACTTGTTAGGAGCTTGAAGTCAGCTAGTAACTAATGCACTGCTAGACTGACACAGTTCATGCAAGTCTGACACACAGACTTATGAAGTAGTGTCTTGCTTTCCAGACACTTCTGAAACCTCTCTCAGAATCAGGGTACTACTCTGGTCTTTAGTGTTGGGTTATAAATACCATATTGGGTCTATTAAACAGGTCAGTTTCCCCCAGTCCTGGAGGAAGTTCTCCCAATAAGTTGGTTTTAATGTGGGAGATTTTTAGGATACATGCTACCTAAATCAGTGATGTCCAACCTTTACAGCTTGGGGGCAATTCAAGGTCAAGGGGCCACAAACAACACTCTGGGGCAGATTCTTTCCTTCCTTCTGATCTGCTCAAGTAGTATAAAGGGAGTGGAATTCAGCCACAGGCCCCCTCTGAGGATTTACCCCAATGCCTGGAGTCTTCAGTGGTGTAGAACCAACATAGCCTTATTCCCCACAGCCTCTGGCACAGTAGGTGTGTTGGGAGCAGGCAGGGGAGGAATGGCTGAACCTTAGGATGAAAACTACAACCAGGAACTAATATTCGTGCTGGAACAAATATTTATGAAGAGTCTGTATTAGCATTTAAAAATCTTATTAGTTAAGATGTTAATTAGTTGCCAATTAGCACAGAACGAGACTAATAATTCAAGTCTAGACAAGGCCCTAGAGTATTTTACAGTAACTTTATTGCTTTGTTTTATACATGTCACTTTTTTAAAGATACTTTATTTCAGTGGTCAAGATAAAGTTGGAATTTTAGTAGTTTATATTACACCTTTATATGCGAATACATGTGGTCACATATCTATATCTAACAGGCTAGAAAATGCTTGCTTATGTAGGCAGAATAGACTGAAATGTATGGAAGGTTTGAAGTATTATTCTGGAGATGTGCCAAGGTCAGAAGAGAACTAGAAATGTGGTTCTCCTTAGACTTCTAATTAGGGCCTGACCCAACAAAGCTTTACTTCAATGAACAGTCTCCTCTTAGTGTGAGATTTTTCAGATTTGGACCCATAAATTGGAAAAAGGCTACAGGTAAATAATTCATCCTTTGTGGCTAATTGTGGCTAGAAACATCTATCCATAATGAGTTTTAATATAGCAAGGCTTTTGTGCAGATTTTGGTTTTATGTTACTATGAGTGAAATAATTCTTGCAATGCACTGAAAATTGTAAAGAAGTCTACCAGGCCACTGACTTTTTCCTCTGTCAACAGAGAGCTTCTGTTTTATCTTTCTCATTGGCTTACTCTTCATGCATTTATTAAGCTTAGTTTATTTTCTGTGTGTACACTTATACTGAAATGCAATGAATAAACCTAAGTTGAAATAAAATCATAGGACTGGAAGGGACCCTGAGAGAGCATCTAGTTCAGTCCCCTGCACTCATGGTAGGAAAGTATTATCTAGACCAGGGATGGGCAAACTTTTTGGCCCGAGGGCTACATCTGGGTGGGGAAATTGCATGCCGGGCCATGAATGTAGGGCTGGGGCAGAGGTGTGGGAGGGGGTGCAGTGTGCAGGAAGGTGCTCAGGGCAAGGGGGTTGGGGCAGAGAAGGGGTGCGGAGTGTATGAGGGGGCTCAGGACAGTGGTGCAGGAGGGAGTGTGGAGTGCGGCAGGGAGTTCAGGGCAGTGGGTTGGGGTGCAGGAGGGGTGTGTCGGGGGCTCGGGCACAGGAGAGGTGTGGGGTGCGGCAGGGGGCTCGGGTGCAGGAGGGGGTTGGGGTGTAGGCTGTGGCCTGGCGCCGCTTACCTGGAGCGGCTCTGGGGTGGCAGTGACATGCACCGGGGCCAGGGCAGGCTTCCTGCCGGCCCCGGCCCCACGCCACTCCCAGAGGTGGCCAGCACCACAGCCCTGGGGGCGGGCACGGTGGCAGAGGGCTCTGCATGCTGCCCTCGCCCGAAGCACCCAGTGGCCGTGGTTCTCTATTCCTGGCCAATGGGCGCTGCGGTGGGCAATGTCTACAGGCGAGGGCAGCACACGGAGCCCTCTGCCCCTTCCTCTCCCAGGGGCTGCAGGGGAGTGGTGCGGGGCCCACAGCTCCACAGGGGTGGCAATCCCATGGGCTGGATCCAAAGCCCTGATGGGCCGTAGTTTGCCCACCCCGATCTAGACCATCTCTCACAGGTGTTTGTCTAACCTGCTGTTAAAAATCTCCAATGATGGAGATTCCACAACCTCCCTAGGCAATTTTTTCCTAATCTCCAACCTAAACTGCCCTTGCTGCAATTTAAGCCCATTGCTTCTTGTCCTATCTTCAAAAGTTAAGGAGAGCAATTTATCTCCCTCCTCCTTGTAACAACATTTGATGTACTTGAAAACTGTTATCATGTCCCCCCTCTCTTCTCTTCTCTAGACTAAACAAACCCAATTTTTTTTTCAATCTTCCCTTGTAGGTCATGTTTTCTAGACCTGTAATAATTTATGATGATCTTCTCTGGACTTCCTCCAATTTGTCCACATCTTTCCTCAAATAAGGCACTCAGAACTGGACACAATACTCCAGTTGAGGCCTAATCAGCATAGAGTAGAGCGGAAGAATTACTTCTCGTTTCTTGCTTACAACGCTCCTGCTAATACATCCCAGAATGATGTTTGCTTTTTTTGCAACAGTGTTACACTTTTAGGATTGTTTACTTCTATTTTTAGTTGAAATGCAGTTATTTTCGACAAAGATTTGCACCAGAGGCTAGAAATGCCCTATATTTATAACATGTAAAATACAACACTGTCTTCAAATTAGGGATATACGGAATTCAGAGTTCTGAAAGCTTAGAGATGGTCTGCATAAACTTGCACCAGAATAAATAAGTTTCATATATATCTTTTGTTATTTCAGTGCAGGTCTTTGTGTTTTACCAGATGAGTGTAATGTAAAATTGACATAGGGTGCTTCTGTTAGAGGAGTGTCCACATGCAGACTTGTGCTGAAATAACAGAAGTGTGAATTAAAACTGGTTTAGGTATTTCAGTGTGTGCTTTTGTGTGCAGACCAGCCCATATGTGCTGATTCTTCTTAAATAGTCTTTTTATTTGGAGAGCTAAGGCTTTCTAACTTAAATTTGACCACTTTCTTTATAGGTAACCATGATGTTGACACAATCTGCAGTTTCTCCATTTGCTCCTTTTGAGTCTGTGCTGGGCCGTATACTCTTTGGTTGGCAACAAACTCCATCTAAAGTAAAGGGTGAGGCCAGAGTATCTTCCAACGGAACCTCTTCAGTCTGTGACCGTTCTGCTGGAGAGGCCAGTGAAAGCATTAAGAAAAGACAGGCAAAGAAAACAGAATAAGTGGCCAAATAATTATCTTGTTACATGTGACCGTAACACTTAGAAACATTTCTATTTCAAATGATGGGGAAAAGAAAACAGGATGTAAGGAAATACATGTGACAGACTGGCAGCAGTGATGAGCTTTGTGCACTGCTGCCATGAAGCATTTAAAGTATATTTTGTAAATTGTAATTCAAATGTTGGGAATGTGTGTATCATGGTAGACCTTTCTAACTTAAATGGTACTAAATAAGATTTTATAGTGATGATGATTTTATTAAATGAGAGATTTATTGTGATTTTGTTTTTATATTTATGGAGAACTAACTTTTAAATGTAACCCCCCTGAAGTTAGTAACAAAATGACAATCAGATTTGACTATTTTTTTCTTTATAGTTTATTTTTGCATATATTTTCTGTTTTGATTCTTGTTTTTCAGCTGAATAAAATGGATAGTTACACACAGTAGCATATTCCAAGGTATGAAAGGCTCGTGTAGTCGTGTTCAATTGAGCAATGGAGTTAGAGTAAAATTTTACCAAACGTTCACATTGCGTGAATAAAAAATTAACATTGTAAATAGTTTGCACTGGAAATGTGCCAAAAACAAGGCCTTTGTTCCCTAGAAAAAAATGTGAATTACTATTATAATTCATGTTGCACTGATCTTGATTCTTAGTCACAAACTAGAGAATATTTTTCATTTTCTACTTTCCAGAATAAAAGTAAATTCTCTTGCACTTCAAAAAAAAAAAAAAAAAAAAAAAAAGATATTTGGCAAATAGAAAATTTTCAGTACTAATGTTTATCCAGCTAACTCACTTTGATACTGTCAGCTGAAAACTTTTGATTTATGTTTGCTGTTCTGTAGGCAGTAAATCCGACAGTAACGTAATATCCGACAGTAACGTAATATTACTGTTGTTAAATTGTTAATGTGCATTTATATTGAAGCATATGGTTTTTAGTATTTCTTCCATTTTCATTTTGCTGTGACTGGATGTGTTCTAGCATGGCATCTTATCCCAAATATCTAACCTCTTCTCCTGCTTTCTAAGGTAGACCATCATTGTGAAAGAAGAATTACATGTTGCAAGAAATACCCATTTTCCCAATCCAGAATGTTTATCACCTTAACCTTCTCCGCGGCTGTAGGGTAAATACATGAATGTCGCCTCCTCCCATACTCTTGCCTTTTCTGCACTAGTGTTTCTATTAAAGTCTCCCATCATTTTGCTGCTACCAGTGAAGCTGCACCAATGGTAGCAATGGCAACAGCACTGATGCCAAACTTGTGTGTTCATACCTCTATCATTTAATCCTGTTTAGATTAGGGGCATATGATGTGGTGATAAAAATACTTGTGCCCTGTCTATTCTACCACTTATGCTGGCACTAGGATGGGTGGAGCAGTTAGTTGCTGATGGTAATGAGTAAGAGTACTCCTAGTGTAAGATGCGCTGTAATTGTCCATCAGCTTTTGCTGAAATGCCTCTTCCTGTTCCTTGCATATGTTGCACACCAGTTGGGTAACTCATTTCTAGCAGCTATTGTCTTAGTGAAAGTCTCTCAATTCTAGACGGTGGAATTAGTGTTTCAGAGATGTTGCATTTTGTGAGTGGCATCTTTCATTTGGCCTGTCATCATTTTGTCGTCAAAACTGTTTTCTTCTATCAACACCAGTCTGCAAAAGCCTAACTTTTGTCTGACCGTGAGCACTTTTGGAGCATTTCTGTAGTTAAATTAAACCAGTTATCTCCATGTGAAAATGGCAAAAGGGAAAGAAAATGTACATTTCTCCTCAGACTGTAGTTCAACTCTGAAAAATGATTGTGGGTAAACAGTTATCCAAGTTGCTGAGGGGTCAGATCTAAAATCTGCAAATGAAATTCCAGTTGCAAGGTAGACTTCTGAATTTGAGATAATCTGAGTTCGGATATATGCAAATGTGGCACCTTATTCAACAAACCTCTGATATGGAAATAAAGATGCAGATAGAATGCCATGATGCTACTTCAAGTCTCTTCTCAGATAAGAACCCAACTTTATAGTAAGCCTTAGATTTTAGGCAGTATCCAGGTAACTGGCCATGTATTTCAGGTCTTATTAACTAAAACGACAACCTACTTCACCATGGAAACAAACACATGAAATCCAGCTCATCATTGGGTAAAAGTCGTATGAGTCTAGTGCCTAAAGGACAAAATAATGTCAGATTCTTGCCTTATAACCTTGGGGCTCAGTTTGTTTTTCAGTAATAAGTGGTAGGAGCATTGAATCTCCTCATACCAGAATATTAAGTACCCATATGATTTTAGGTTCTACAGGGCTATTTGTGTGCCATTAAAAGTAACTACTAATTACCTAGTTAACAGGCCGCTAAAAATGAGAGACCAGTAACTGCAGTACTTCCTGCACATGTAAAACTTTCAGGTAACTCTTACATCCCTAAGAAATGTATTAAGATTGAGAACAAGTGTTCAAATACTTCATAGTCCTAGACTTGGCACAGTGGGTATGAGACGCTTTTTTCCCCCCAGGTGACTATTGTACTACTGTGAAATACTGGCCAATATCTGGCTATTTTTAGCCCAAATGGATATGTGAAAATATGTTTAGAATTACTTTAAGTTTATAGTAATTTGAAGCAGAAAATGTGGTGTGTTTATATTCAGTGTGGATTTATAAAAATTACATTAATAAAATAAGTGGAAACAGTTGTTTTTCCTGATTTTTCTTATTTAGATGTTTTAGACAAATATAAGAACATAAAATCCAAAGCCTGTAATGTTACTTTCAAATAGAAATGCAGTATAATCTTTCTGAAAAACTTAATAATAAATTGTGTTCCCATTCCAGGGGAACTTTGAAACCTCTTCATATTAAAATACTTTAGAGAATGATCTTGCAGGACAGATTTCTAAAAGAACTCTACATACAACAGCTTCCATTCTACCTAAATGAAAATCTGGCCACTCCAAAAATGCCCAATATCCAGCAGCTCCCATTGTTCTCAGGTTCTCGATGCTGAGCACTCTTGAAAATCTGGCTATAATTGTTGGTGCATAGCACTCCTGAAGAATCTGACCCTTGCTGCGAAAGCTGCATTGCCATGTGTTGATACTGAATAACAAGAACAATTTTTCAGTTTCTTGGAAGAACTTATACTGGAGCCACAACAGCAGAAAGAACATTACTCCTACACTCAAGATTTTTTCACATTTGTCAGCTCTGGTTTTTAATGTAAAAAGGTGTCTACCTGCATGTCCTTCAGTTTACTGATCATCTGTTTCATTCGTTAATCTTTCAAATCTGATATCTTCTTGTGTCATAGTCAAGTAACTTTTTCAACAGTCCTGGAAAAGTTAATTTGGGGATACTTTGCTTTATAAATACTCCCCCAAATCCCATCCCTCTTAGGTGTGGATTGGTTCAGGTAAGTATCCCCTTCTTTAGCTGTTATCCCTAATGTACCTTTGCTAAATGCTTCTCTGCAAGGTCGGACACTGTATTCAATGTAATTGCTGTGCTGGCTAGATTCAGGATCAAGTATTCTCGATTAGCCAGATCCAGCACAAGGGCCATATATGAATTACTTCCTGTCTTTCATTTGTCAGATTGTTTCCTTAAATGTATCTTTTTGCTAATACAAACTAAGGCTGTGATCTGCATGGGAGCCCCACTGACTTCTGAGGTTCTGTGTGGGCGGAGGGATCAGCCTGCATGGATCAGATTGCAGAATCGAGGCCTAAATTGACAATAGAAGAAAGTTATAGAGTAATATCAAGGCTTGGGTGAAGTGATTCACATAAACATAACAAAACAGAACCATTGCTCAAAACTTGGACCCAAATGCTTTTTTGAAGATTATACATTTTTCCTTTTTGTACTCTTTCCAGTACTACGACGTTTTTGGACTGAAGTGGAAATAGTGAAAGCCCACAAGAAAAGCAGCTGCTGCTTCTAATTTGGCTAAAACGAGAAACTAGTGGGAAAGACATATATGTGATCTCTCAAGAATTCCAGCCTCTCTTACCAGGTTAAGTAGGTCTGAATAATCTAGATTTTTATACTGTACTCATCACCGTGCTATATAAATAGAACCCCTGAGTCTTGCCCATTACTAATATCTAAATACAAATTCAAGGTTTTTGAACAACAGTTGAAGCTGGAGAGTAAAATAAATCCCTCTAACTAGATTCTAAAAAAACCAAACGAATGGCCACCAGCGAAAGTAGCATTTAATAGAATAACAATCAGAACATTTGATGTAAAACAAAATGCTTGGAATTATTTGTGTTCATAAAATGGCCACTACAGACAGGCAAAGACCTTTATTGCAAGCCTACCCTCAGCAAGGATAAGGGAACACCCATCAAAAGGTAGGTACCATCATGTGGGTAAATTGTTTAAAGTGATGTACAGAAGGAACACACAGATATTCTCAAGAATAGTATGTTCCCACTCCTGTATTCTGCTTTGAAAATGGATCTTGTGGCTTTTGTGAACAAACGCATATTAGAAGAATGTAGGCTGCATAGAACAGCATCTCAGAAACACAGCCAGCATCCTAACCTAGCTCTCTGCTTCCACCAAGTCTGATGTGTTTACAGCTTCTTTGGAGAGACCAGCAGATGAGCTGCGAATCTTGCAAAGAAGGTCAAGACTGTTTTTTACTTGAGGGAATCACGAATTCAGAGAATGTTCTATGATCAGAGAAGCCGTTCATTAAGTCATAAACCTAACAATTACTTGTACTGGAATTCTTAATGTTGGAAACCCAATTCCAGTGGCACTTGGTACTTTTAAAAGGCCTCCAAAAATGAAATGGTGCATAGATTTTCATGGGAGTTGGTTGAAAATCAGGTAAGTAACTGGGAAGAATTTACTACCATAAGATGGTGCACTGTGGTACATTTTGTCAAACAAAGAGAATTTCTTTGTAAAAAGGCCAAATTTTGTCCAAGATGCTGGTGGAACTCCTATTTGATGTGTGTGGTTCCTGTCCCTATAGTATCTATGTGCCTTCCAAGTATTTAAAAATAGAAATCTTCCTTCTCAGGTTATGGAAATCATTAGTTTGGTCAACAGGGTTCTTGTTTGCATGTGAGAAGGAAATATTGAGGGAAGTCAAATCCAAGGAGTTTTGCATTTCTTCTGAAAGCATTTAGTTCCATGGTTGCTCTCATCTCTTGCAGAAGTGAGTTCCATAGTCTAGGTCCTGCTCCTGCAAGAGCTTTACCTTCTGAATGTACAAGCCTCCCCTTATTGGCCATTAGTTCAATTGTTCCAGTGGAAGATTGGCTGCAAGTGGGGAAGGGTTTTCTTACGTAGCTAGGTCCTATCCTGTGAAAGACTTTGAACAGCAGAGGAGCGTTCTTGAACTGGTATTCAGATGTCAAGCCAATGACTAGAAGAGCATTCTGAGGCGATGTATTCTCACAGACCTGTGTTGCTGAGCAGATGGGCTGCTGTGTTTTGTACTAGCTTTCAGGCTCCGTGGCTTCAATCCTATTTATTAGGATGGTATTTAATGTATTTTTAGCACTCTCTAATGTGAGGTAGCAGCTGGAAATGAAGAGAGCCAGCACCATGTGATCTGCCAGTTCACAGTGGATCCACCAAGTGCTCCATGGGCCACAGTTTAGGAACCAGTGAATCCATCAGCAGATACCTGCAGAGTTTCATGCCCTTATGTGGGAAATGCATGAAGGCATAACAGATGGTCCAATGAGTTTTTAACCATAGATGAGCTTTTAAAAAACCATTTAGACCATTTAATACATCTTCCATTTTCCTACTCCTATCCATTTCCACTGTTATCTATTTAGTTTTATTTCTTCTTTTGAGTTATAACCTTACAGTTCATAGCTGTGCCATCCTCCTTGTAGAATTTGATGTCTTTATAGGTATAGCTTTTCTTATGAACTCTTTTGGGGTCTGGATTTGGACTTAAGTCTGACAATGCATGGAAAAATATGGGGATTGGCCTGAACCAAAATCTGGACCTGAATTTTGTGGAAGTTCCCTTCCCTCAAAATTTTGGAGGTGGGTTTCACAACCCAAGGCTTTGATTTCAGCTAGCATAGATATAGGACCTAGAGTTCTGATCCAGACCAATATTGGTTCTGATCGTGGAATCTAAACTTCAGTTCACATGTTTGTATCTGGGTTTTGGTTCCAGGCTCTCTCTTTAAATGAAACCCCCTAAATAAAACCTAATGTCAGATTTGGGTGCCCAGTCCTTACTTAAACTAAACATCTGTTGATCTCAAATGGGCGTTTTCCCTGAGTAAGGACTTCCAGAGAAGTCCCCTAATTTTGATAAGCTGAACAAACCAGAAAGACATTGGGATTTAAAAAAAAAAAAAGTTGTCTTTTCTTCTTGAATAAGACACAGATATTAAACAGTGAAAGTTTTATTGAATGAAAGAATCTAGAAGATATGAATAAATGCTAAATGGTCACTCAAGATAGCCACTAAAAAGTAGACAACAAACAAAGCTACTCATTTTACCGACAGAAGTTACCATATGAAGCTAGATGAAACAGGCACATCAAAACTGCAATTTGCTGTATGAGCAATCTCTCTCCTTGAATGCAAACTATACAGAGCAGAAGGAAAGCAAGGTTTGGGCCAAAGTGAAACAAGTTGAAAGCATGCAAGGAATGAGGACAAAGAAAGATAAACAGCTACTGAAACTGCCGATAGACATGTTTCACTTCAGTATTGGCATGCTCCCCATGTAAGAGGGGGAACCCAGAAGGTGTGATCAGGAACAAACTAAGACCATGGACCCTAATGCTTGTCACACAGTCTCATCCCTACTGACCTAGATGAAGATGCTACACTTCTCGTTTAATGTGAATCTGGTTGGTGCAAATGTTCCTGAAATGAACACATCAAAATATTATGAGGAAAAGCAACAATTAAGGAGGTCAAGCAGGGTAAGACCCCTGGGGAGAAATTTTCAGTGTGATGTGCAGGAATGCAATCAAGCATATCACATTACTAATAAGATGTGTTTTCAAAAATCCCCTCCATCATGCTGAATTTTTTACCCCCTGGTGTTAAGAACCAGGCTGCAATGACTTAAAAAATGGATTTGTGCTTGACATGCTTACTAATATACAGGAAGCAGAAAACCAGCTTAAATAATGCACTTGGAATGAAATGTATCCCTGTGCAAAGTGCCAGCCAGCATCACATAACTCCTTGAAGCCAGAGGAAAATGAAAGTGCTCAGCACTTCTAGAAATGAGGCCATCAACCTCTTTGTTCTGTCTTCTTACCTGTGAAATGGGTGTCATTCTTTTTCACCTCACAGGGGCTTTGTGTAGCTTAATGAATTGTTTGTGAAATGCTTTCAGATCCTGACATGAAAGGTACTATTAGAAATGTGAAGTATTAATACAGCTAGTCCAATATTTTTCACCAAGACCTTTTTTCAACAAAGTGGATTTCTGACCAAAACAAAACTTTTTGCAAAAAAAAAGCTGCAATTGGATTTTTTCCCCTCAATAAAACAGTTTTACTGAAAAAAATTCACTTTTGATTTTTGAAAACTTTTTAAAAATACTGATTTTTTGGAACGAAAAATAGCTTTAGAAGATAGTTATTTGGTTTGATTTTTGCATCCAAAACCAAGAAGATACTGTGTGAGACTTGGGGGAGGGGGGAAGAATCAATTAAAAAAATATCATGGAAAAATTGGTAT